CCTTCCCTCTTCCTTGGTATTTCCCGACAGAATATTATCCAAACTGTGAAGTAGTGTTCATGGGCATGGCAAACATTCATTCTATCAGGAAGAGCTTTCAGTCACTGCGTTTGCTCTGCACACAAATGCCAGACCCTGGAAAGTAAGTAGACATTTGGTGGGTTTTGCTTTTGTTTACATTTTTCTGCAACTGCATTCTTTTGGTGTTGGTTGGTAAACTGAAATTCAGTGTTTTTTCCCTTGGTGACTTCCTTGTGTAATAACGCTAAGCTATATTTTTTCATTTCCACTGCATTTGAGCTAAAGGGAGAAATTGGTGTATTATCACTGAATTGAACCTAGAAAATGAGATCTGGGATTATAACATAGCCTTGAGTATCAATACTAGAATGTTATTACTTTCAGGAGGGCTTCTAAGTGCTGGCAGTTGGGCTTACTTGATGTTCCTGGTTCTTCAGTCTTCACAGCCTGGCTCTCCTTCAGAAAATTCTGGTGGTGTTCCGTGTACTTCACTCATTTATAGCATCATTTCCAGAGGCTTATTTCATAGCCCTCCAATGCTGTGGTATAACTAACCTCTAGTGGCCCATCATCTCAAGACCTTCTGAGGCTGGGTCTTCACTAGGACACTGCATTTGCACCAGTCCTGTTTCCCTACCACTTTCCTGTTTTGAATTTGCTGCCAAGAGTCTTCTATGGTTTCAGTGTAGATCCAGAATGGCCACCCTTACTAAATGGGATATGTAGCTCTTTGTAGGGTAGAGGTTCTTGAGATACCTACAGCACACCTTGTGAAGCCTGGGAATAGTTGAGATACGGGAGATTTCAAAGGCACCTGAGGTTCCCCCCTTTCACTGAGGCACAGAGTTGTCAGGGGCGTATGGCAGAGTCCCGAGGTTTGCCAGTGGGACTGCTGGGTAATCTGGATCCTTGGCTCAGAGAGAGGGAGACAGCAAAGGCTGCTGGAAGTAAGGATTACCCCGTGGCGCTTACGTTGTCCATGGCTGGTGATGTGTTACGCTCCTGTCTGGGAAAACATTAAAGCTTCTTGCAAGTCTTATGCAGCAAAGTGCATACCAGAGATGTGCTGTTCCTTAGGTGGACTGCATGGCTTTGTTTCCTGTGAATCTGGGAAAGTGTTAACGAGATGTAAATGAAAAATATTCAAGAATGACATTCACAGCTTATTAAAATAGAAGCTTTGACTTGATAAATTCAAAGATCCAAGCCTGAAAGCATTTTAAAAGGGCAAAAACTGTCTTTCCTTGTTTTCCTCTAGTTGGTTATCAGCTCTGGAAAGTACCAAATGGCTGCAGCACTTGTCTGTGCTTCTGAAATCTGCGCTACTCGTCGTTCATGCTGTGGACCGAGACCAGCGACCAGTCTTGGTGCACTGCTCAGATGGCTGGGACCGAACCCCCCAGATAGTGGCGCTGGCCAAACTGCTGTTGGATCCCTATTACAGGACCACAGAGGTTTGTAAACCGTCTGTTAGTGCACGAGGTAGTCACCGACTTTGGGTCCTTTTCTGAGGATGTCTGTCTAGAAGTGATTTTATTTTTTTCTTCTAGGAAAAGCACCAAAGCTGGCCGGAGTTTGCCAACAGTAGTCCGCAGATACAGTTACATATAGGTGTAAATACAGCAATCTGTAATTCCAGAGCAGATTATATTTTTCCCCTTTGTTGTAACTGTCCAGTCATGGTTTGTGCTTCCCCATATTTAGCTTAGGAATATGTAGTACCGAGTGCGATGTATTGCAGTTTCCATTACACCATTACAGTTTCTCAGCCAGCTATTGGTACAAAGCCTTTCTCTTTTCTAGATTTCCCAACTGCGTGTTTTTCCAGTTTCACGCTTTTGTTGTCCTCTGTCACTTAGTTAATTTCTCTTGGTTTTTCAGCCTGTATTTTTTTTGCTCCCATCACTTTTCAGCATTGTGTGATCTGTGGTGGCTGGATTCCATCTGCAAGCCCACATGCAAGATGCCTTTGTTGTCTAGAACAGAAGCATATGTCTGAGCGCTGTGCACTGAACTGCTGCTTAAAGCCTCAGACACATGAGGACCAGAAGTTTAAACTGCAGCAATGCTTTTTGGATGAAATTGTGGAAACTTTCTCAGATCCTTTTTCACATGCGTTCTAGAAGTCAGCATCCATCAGGTCAAAACATACTCCTCTGTCCTTGGCGCAGAACCTCCTGCCTCCTGGTCCCTCCTAAGAGTGCTGTCATTCCTGTTGGAAGTGCAGAGTTCTGTACACACCCTTTGCCTTCTGTCTTGTCACCACCGCGTCAGAGGAAACCATAAACTGTAGCTGTCTATACAAGGATCAGAAATGTTTAGGAAAAAGTCTTCAGCATTGTCATATTTCAGCTATCGGCTATTATTTTTTTTGCTCTGATTACAACGATTGACTTAATAAGCATGCTCTACAATCTTTCTTTCCACTAAGAATCAAATCCTTCCTCACCTGTGATGGGTTTTAGGTCCTGTAATATGAGGTGTTGCATTCAGGTGCTCAGCTAGGTGCTGTTTTGAAATGTTCTTTGCCCTTTTTCACATGTGTAAGAAATCACGCAACTTGACCTTTAATCAGCCTTGTGACTGTGCTACATTTGCTGTACATGCAGGCAGGCACTCTTTCTGAGCATGGATGTCCTTTCGTGGATGAATTTTTTTTCTTTTATGATGGACAGATCTGCCCATCATTTTCAAGGGAGAGCTTTAACATTTCCCTTCCTGTCCAAATGTTGGTTACGGTGACCCTGAGGGGTTTGGTCAAGGTGAATTTCCTCCTCACCCCAGCCTGGCCCAGACAGGTCTCACATCAGGATCTTCCGTGCCAGTCGCTGAGGACTTAACCTGCCTTATTCCCTTTCCTCTTCATGTAGGCTTGGGAATTCATATCTGTCCTAATATCGTTGCGCAGCATTTCAGAGCACAGAGGCATTAGGTAAAGCAGTAAAGATAAGTAATGAGGCCAATGCTGAAGGGAAATGGCAGTGGGTGAGGATACTGTAATAAGGTGATTCCCATGAGCCTCAGACTGTCTTAGAAAATTGAACCATAGAAAAATATGAATTTTTCATCTGTACTTTCATTTCTGCAGGGTTTCCAGGTGCTAGTGGAGACGGAGTGGCTGGATTTCGGCCACAAGTTTGCAGATCGCTGTGGCCATGGTGAGAATTCGGATGACCTAAATGAGCGCTGCCCAGTGTTTTTACAGTGGCTGGACTGCGTCCATCAGCTCCAGAGGCAGTTCCCTTGCTCTTTCGAGTTTAACGAAGCATTCCTTGTGAGTTGTGGCTTGAGAGATTGCTGTTTTATAGACTGCTGCTAAACCAGTACCCAGTACTAACATGCTCTAGAGCCCCGAGGGTTTTCTGATTTTTCCCATCTGTCTGTGATACGATGCAGCCTGATAAAGGAAACGGGAAAACTGCCCAGATACAGTAGACAAAAGTACTTTTATACTTCCTGGGACCTGAGGTCTGTTCACTCTTACAACCAAAGCAGGACCCTTGAGGACTTCTTTTAAACTTTAAAGAAAGAAATAAATGATACGAATTTAATAGTCTCACCTAAGAGGTGCTGAAATAACTCTGGTATAATACATCCACACAGCATGAAAAAAGTCATAGTTACTGGCAATAAAAGTTCCCCTTACTTTGATCTTGTTTTGAGTTGAAGGCTCCTCCTCTAAAAACAACCTCCCCCTTACCTTCCTGAAAATGTGTAGGATATATGAGCTGTGCTTTATTTTCTTTTCAAGTGGACAGCTCTGCTATGAGAAATTTGCCGAGGATGGTCAAAATCTATTCTCAAGGCCAGAAAGCAGTTCTCTGGGAAAGTGGCAGTCACTGACTGCAGGACAAGTAATCTGAAGAATAAAAGTTTTTATGAAGTGTCTGATCCACTAGGAGGTTTAAAGCACGCTGACTCGACTTACCACTTGCCAGCTCAGCCTTGTCACCGACTATATGTGCGGTCCTAGCTTAGCGCAGTTGTGAAATGAGATATGTGAGGTTATAACTGGCTTCACAGCACACTGCTAATCTGCAGGAGCTGTGTGTGAGCATACCCTTACTATTACGGCCTTTAGAGTAAACCCCTTCATTTCTTGGTGTATTGAAGTACTTGTCTTCATTTGAACATCTGAATACTCCCATGGAAGTCATTGATGTGCTTAAAGTTAATTTCATATTAAGCTATTTTGTCAGCCTGGGACCACAGCATGGAGTGAGTAATGGATCGGGACGTGTGTGCTGTATGCACTTATACCAATGTACAGAAATTAACACTTTTCCCCACCATTCATTGCCTTTCTGTGCTGGATTAATGTTTTGTAACAGGTATTGGGATTCTCTTCTTTGCCTGTCCTACGGGGCTAAGAGTTTGAACCAGCAAGACTTCTATACTTGATGATCAAATATTTTGTCCTTTTTTTTTTTTCCTGAATTTTTTTAGTTATGATTTTAAAAGATTCCACTACGCTTGAGTTCTTTTGCAATTCGTTTATAAGGAGGTATGCAGAGAATGCTAGGTGTATTTGTGTATCGGTCTGTAGGACGGGGGTCCTGTTGCCCTGTGAGGGAAAGATCTGTTGCTTCTTAAGCCTAAATGTTGATTCTCACGTTAAGCTGATATCTTCTGCCGTATGACAATATTTGTATTGGTCTGTGCAGGTCAAATTGGTGCAGCACACCTACTCCTGCCTCTTTGGTACATTCCTGTGCAACAATGCGAAAGAAAGAGGAGAAAAACACACTCAGGAACGGACCTGTTCTGTCTGGTCTTTGCTGCGGGCAGCAAACAAAGCCTTCAGAAACCTGCTCTACTCCTCTCAGTCAGAATCTGTAGGTATCCTTCATTTCCCACCACGCGGGGAGAGTCCCTTTAGGGGCTCCCAGGTGCAATGTTCTCAAAAGTGTGTACTTTAAGAAAATGCCCAAGCTTTTGTAGCAGTGGGACACAGTAATGGCTTCACTGTCATCACGATTACAGTGCAGAGAGGGGCATTTCCAGAAAAGCGTGCTTAGCTCTCCTCATTGATGTTTACCTTTGAACGCTCTGGTCAGTCTGATGTTTCAGGTCTTGCATTAAGTTTGCTGATATTTGAGGAATTTCAAAACACATCCTCAGAAATTTCTCTATGCTGGAAATGCATTTTCCATAACTAAATATTTTGCTTTACTTTTTTTGTAAAGGAAAACATTCCGGTTCCCGCTCAGTGGCAGGGAACCTGATTGTTTCTCTGCCATTGCCTGCTTTTCCACAAGGAAGTTGCCTGGGAAAAGAGTAGAATTGATAGAGCGACCCAAAGTGGTTTTAAACTGAAACAGAAAGCGTGTTCCACAGTCAAGGAATCCCTTTTAAGAGCAAGCTGCCTCTTCAGCAAAGTATTTCTGCATGTACTTAATTTTTAACATATGAGTGCTTCCATTAAAGGCAGGGTTGGCTTTGATGAATTGGAGCCTGTGGAAGGCGGTTATTAGTTCAGCTCTCGTATGGCGTGGTATAATACAATGTACAAGGACATCTCTACGCCAACAATGGGCCACTGAATTCTTCAGCAGTTTAAATCACTCACAAGCATTATTATGGTGTCGATTCACACAGAGCACATAGCAGTAACTCATTCATGACAAGCTGAAAGGCAGCATTGTTATGCCTCAGCCTCTGTCTCTGAAAGAAAAGATAATTATATAGTCAAGTGTAGCTGATTAAAAATGCCATAGCTGCTTCCTGGCCTTCAGGGTTTAGATATCTAGAGATCTAGCAAAGCCTCCCAGCTGCAAACCTGAATAGTAAACTACCACAGTCGGATTCATAGAATCGTAGAATGTTTTGGGTTGGAAGGGGCCCCTAGAGGTTGTCTAGTCCAACCCCCCATTCGAACACCTCTGGGAGCGAGCAGTTTACCACTTCTGAACGTTGTGTGTTCTCCCCTCTCAGGTGCTGTACCCAGTGTGCCATGTGCGTAATTTAATGCTCTGGAGTGCTGTTTACCTGCCGTGCTCTTCCCCCTCTACGCCCGCTGATGACACCTGTGCCCCGTACCCTGTTCCTGGCTCTAGCCCTGAAGATCAGCCTCTGGGCAGGTGAGCCTAGAGCCCAGAAATCCCATCCTGTAAAGTAAGATCAACAGAGAATATTGTGGGATATAAGGAGGAGAATACTTGGGGTGGGAGGGAAGTGTTTTTCACAGGCTTATTGGTGGGACCGTTTGACTGACCTACCCACAAGTGGTCTGTCATTGTTTTGGTTTTGAAAGCTGTTAAGTTTCGGAGGTGATAGCGTAAGAGAAGATTAGCAAATAGAATTAAGCTCCAGGTATTGCCTTGCCTTGTAGGATTCCTTCAATCCTGGTGGGATATAAGCTTTCGTTTGCTTATCTTGAATTTGAGTTCTTTTTTTGGTGTTGCATAACTATTTCTTTGCTTTTTTGTACAATCATTCTGAGCACATGTTAATTAGGAGGTGTGACCAGACTCTAAGCATTTGTGCTTTGTGGCAAAGGGATTATTCTGAGAACGTTTGAAGTCTGATTGAACATATTTTCCTGATGGCAGACAAAGAAAGTACTGAAGCAGCTCTGCACTACAGATGGTCAAAATACGCTCCTAGATAATACTTCACAGAAGTCCATTAGTTAGCAGATTGTTCCTGTCCTAATTGGGGGGGAGAGCTGTTAAACCATAGTAGCTAAGTGTTTAAAAAAAAATAAAAACAAGCCCTGACTTTGGATTCTGATTACTTGTACCTTTATAGGTTACCAAAGACGAGATCATTTGACAATCTGACGACAGCCTGTGATAGCAGCGTGCCTACAACCAATCGACGTAGTAGCGACCCCAGCCTGAATGAAAAGTGGCAAGAGCACCGCCGGTCTCTGGAGCTGAGCAGCCTTGGTAACCCTGGGGATGATCCGTTCGATGGAGACAGCCTGAGCAAACAAGGCAGGGCTCCAGTTGGAGCAGAGCTCTCTGTTGCAGCTGGTGTGGCAGAGGGACAGATGGAGAACATTTTGCAAGAGGCCACTAAAGATGATGTTGGTCTGGAGGAGCACTTAAGAGGTAGCGTAGAGACAGTAGGTAAAGGGGACGAGATTGCCCTGGACAAGGAGAAGAGAACTGAAAATCTACATGGGTATGTCAGTGACGTCTGTGGAAAGGCTGAGGCAGATAAAGGTTTTGTGATGAACAATCCACATCCAGTTTCACAAGGTGCTTCTGAGCTTAAAGGACAACAGGACGAGCATAGTGATCTCGGTAGCACCATCCAGAAGTTACCTCAGGTGAAAGGACTACAGCCTGTTCCTTTGGAGGGCTTTGTAAATAGAGATACTCAAAAGAATATGGAGGAAGAAGGCGTTGGCAAATTTGAGGGAGAAGCAGAGAGCCTGTATAATGCAGCACAGGCCAGCCTTCTGTTACCTCTTATGGTCCCGCACGAGGCAAGAACATGCAACATCGAAAGCTCTACAGAAACCTTAACCGAGAACGAAGCAAAGCAAGAGCTCATTCCGAAAGGTCCTTGCCATAGACCTCACTCAATCGACAACAGTGCTGATGAACTTTCTCAAACTGTTGAAAATAGGCCAGAGGGGGAGAGCATGCTAGAACTTCAAAAACTGGGAACAAAAGTATATAGGACTTCTGGTAGCAGCACCACACACATCCCAATGCCTTCCCCTTGTGCCTTGCCTTTAGCTGAATGTAAAGATGAGATTGTGTGTAATGGAGAGCTGGAGCCTGAGAACAAGGTGACAGAGAAGCCTGCAGGGTTTAGCATCGCCCAGAAATACCGTGCGACAAACGGACACTGTGTGAATGGAGAGGACGGTCGGATCAAAGCCTCTCTGAGCCGTCAGGTCTCCACGGCTAGCTGTAGTTCTGCACAGTTCCACTTGAGGAACTTGCACCAAAAATGGATGTTCAGTCATCTTGGTAAGCAGCAGGCAGCCAGCAGCCCAGACCAACCTGCCAGAAGTCACCTGGACGATGATGGGATGCCTGTCTACACTGACGTTATCCAGCAGCGCCTGCGCCAGATAGAAACCGGCC